ATTTTCCACAACTAATGTACGCCATGGCTTCTGCTATAAGGTCCGCACCAGCACAAGACTGAAATATGGCTATGTGTAGCTAAAGTGGTAGCATCAGATTTCAATTTCTCTCAGAGGCACCAAGTGTTATTAAACTACAAACAATAACAATAGAATGTGTAAATTAACGTAGTAATTACAAGAATAATTTTAGGCACTGACTTGGTCATATGGCGTTACTTGGGGCCATTAATCAATTTGTGCCAATTCTACAGTCAACTAGTGTCAGAGCTTTTGGGGACGTAAAGAGCTTTTTAATACTGTGTTGTCAGAGTCTGTGTATCACCACAGTTTCTTTGAGTGTTTAATTAAATATCACCCTTGAAATGAAAGAGGTCCTTTGTCTTTAGGCATCTCAAAACTGGTGAAAGGTAAAATGCCAGAAAGTGTTTGCGTGCTGAGATCAAAATAAAAAACTATTATCTTAAGAATTAATATTTTGGATTGTGAAAAAGAAGTAAAAATCCTTATAAAGGAGGTATTTTAGAACTCTATGCAACCCAGTAGATGTAATATATACTGTATAACCATATGGAGTTTCTAAATAATGCAGCAATTGCTACTGATTAAAAAGAACTGGGTACTCTAACCTCATGCTGTTAGAATTTTAAGCTTTTTTTTTTTTTTTTTTAGTCAGACCAGTAGCAATTGCATTTGTCCAACACAATGTATTGTAGATTTGTTTTGAGGAATTAATCAGGGATTCCTATTCTAGTTGGCTGGTAGCAGCTAAGTGTGTCTCACAGGAATAACTCTGATGGTAACATCTAAGTTGAGAAAACAGCTTTTCTAACAAAATATCTCATTTTTTTGACACAAAAGAAAAACAAAGGGGAAATATAAAATCTTAGTATTACTAGTACTAATAAAGGCATTGTTATCAGACATCAATATAGTACTGAATTCAGATTCTGCACTGATTTCATTGCAGGCAGCTTGTCTCTTGCTTTTAAGTTTAAAAACAAGCAAATCTGAAATACACAGTGGGAAATGTTTTAGTTTAAAACCCTGCACTTAGCCCTGGTATGTGTTGGATCAATTTCTTAATCAAAGAACAATATTATACTGGCTTCAGTACACTCACCAATAAAACTTGTGTTGATTAACTTTCATTTTTTGTTATTTTCAGTTTGGAAATGGTTCTTCCTAACTCAGTTAAAGACCTCTGCATCTGTGACATTTATTAGTAAAGCATGAATTGACATATTAATGAAATCACTAATAAGTAAACAATTTAGCATGTGGATATATTAGTATATGATGGATGATTAAATGCTCAGGGGGAAAAGGAAGTACAATTCCTCTATGTGTATGGTCTACTGTGATTTTATATAATGTATATCTTTCATGTCAAAATCTATGAATTGAAATTTTGTTTTTCCTTGCTTTTTTGTTCAAACTTGCTTTTTATTTCTTTTTTTTTCTTTTTCCTCTATCTTTTTTTTTTTTAATTGCTGCTATAGGTTCTTCAGGGACTTGCTTGTACATTTATTTCTGCAATTCTGACCTAAAAGACAAGCACGGTGGAGTTACAATTTCTGGGTCCCACTGTTGTTATTACTATCAGCTTGTTCATTCATCATTAACCTCCACTATCTAATAGTTTTACAAGACTATTATCTGGCAATTTTTATATGTTGTCTGAGATGTCCAAGTGGATATTTAACTTTGTTTATTATCATGCATTTTGTTTGGTTTTATCGTTATTTGTAGTCTATCCATGTGGCTTTGCAGTTGATTTCCTTGATATTTTACTCCTTTAATTTACATTCCATCTTTGCACCAGTGTGCAAATGTGTTTCTTCTAGTGTGATAACCTGTTTCTGAGAGAGGTCTCCTTACTTTTAAAATTTGTGAAGCTGATTCAGTTTGATTTAAAAAGTATAGCTGAGTTTATTTTTCTATTGTCAAATACATATCCTACAAGTTGCAGTAACCAATTTACTATTGGACCATTTCAAATTCTACAAAAACATGTTATGATTTATCTGTAATTTTGTTTCCTGATGTGTGCTTTTGTACTTAGTGCTCTCTCTTCTCTTTTAATCTATTTCCTTCTATGAGCTTAGTCCAAGTTGCCCTAGCTCTCTGCCTATAACATTTCAAGTTTTTTCATTCCTCTCAGCTATATACTTGCAGACAGATCTATGTACAAGATATGTTGTTTGAAATATTGTACATAGAGAGACCAATACTTAAATCAGAAAATGGGACAAATTTCATTGTACCTCCTATGTGGTACAATGCGATAGGATAATTTTGGTTTTAATAATTAATTTTTAACTAAATACAGAAAAAATATAAGGTTGGGAAATGGTAGAAAAATAAACAAATCTCAGAATCAGATTAATCTGTTGTGCTTTCTTTGAAATATATCAGCAAATGCTCTCTAATGACTGTATTTTGAATACACTAGAGGCTGTAGAGTGCTTTATCCCAAATACCAATAAACAGGCTTTATAATTCTGCAGTCAGTTTCTATGAGATGAAGGCATTCTGCAGAAAAATAATTTTCAGGCCTTAATCAGATACTTGTGAGAGATAGTTCAATAAGACAAGCTCCACACATGATGATCGAAAGAAAATCTTATTCTCTCATTTTAAACTCAGCCAAGGTGTCTGTCTTGACAATCACAGTTCTGCTTGAATCATGGATGTTGAATACAGTAGGAGGATCTTCTGACAATGAGTTAGTGATTTTATCTCTCAGCCAGCAATTTTTGGATGAAATTGTCTTGCTCAGCTTTTGACAAAATATTTTTGTCATAGTTGCATAGATATTGAAACAAAATAACTTCGGTTGTACAACCAACGATTTATACTAATGCCTAGTGTTATTTCACTGAACCAGAGAACTTTAGGCATAGAAGAGGTAGGAACTTGAACCGTCAGTTCTTCCTGGTGCAGTTTGGCACGTGTTCAGCTGTGGAAGGTATTATTCAAGCACAGTACTTGTGTGGTGCTTGGGAGAAAAAGTAAAATCAGGTTTAGAGTCCATTCAGGTC